TGTCTAATTTCCATTCCCTAAAAATAAATAAAGGAAATTCTATGACTCCTAGAGGCAGTCTAACTGCCCTGCAGGTCATTGTCCTGCATTGAGGGGACACCAGAGACACATATCTGTAGTCTCCTTGGGTAATCAAAAGCCTGATAGGAAGACAAAAAGAAAACCTCACACACCCTCAAAACCTTAACCTTATTCCTGTGTTGAGGACTCATTAAAAACAGTCTATAGGGCTGGGGATTTAGCTCAGCGGCATAAGCACCTGCCTTGCTAGCAGGTGGTCGTGAGTTCAATCCCCGGTACCGATAAAAAGGAAAAAAAAAAGTCTATAAGCCCTAGAAAAATAAAGGAATTTAGGGCAGGGGAGGATTAAAAAGGGACTCTGGTAGAAACTCAACTGTGCTTTCTCAAGGGACAAAGCAGAAGACCACAAAAATTCTTGATGACTCCCCAAGGGAAGAGGAGCTACAGTGGAGATGGCCACTCAAATTTTCACAGGACTAGGACCAGCAGCAGCCACCTGACAGGTCAGTACATCTGTTGCCTACAAGAACCCTGGCAACCTCATAGCACCTCCTCTGTTAGAACCCAAACAGAGGAGAGGGCTATAACCTGGGGAGGTCTGATAGTTAGACTTTGTCCATGTACCGCCATACCCATGGTAGATACAGGTAAATGCTGGTCCTAATAAACACCTTAAAGCCTCTCAAAATAATCGTTCCTCAGTTTCAACTATCCAGTCCCTTCAGAATGACAATCAGCCTTTTATTACCTCTCAAATAACTCGGGATGGCTCAGGCTTTCAGAATAAACTATCATCTCCATTCGACATAAGGTCCTCAGCATTTTCAAAAGGTCAGCCAGATCCTAAAGTGAGTTCTTACACAATTGCACCAAGAAGCATCTGAGCCTTGTCTCTGATTATTGCCAGTAGCCCTCATGAGGGTTCCAAACAACCAAAATGGGGCTAATATAAATCTGTTTGAAATGTTATATGGGAGATTTTTCTGTCTTCTGATATGATAGTACACTCAGAGATCACAAGATTCTTATAATGCCTCATTCATTTAGGCCAAACACCAAAGCCTATCCAACTGTATGGAAGCAGAGTCCTGCCAGATTCTGGCCCAGAGGAATATGTAACATCTGTCCTGCATACCATATAAGTAGAACCTACAACTCCTTCCAGCAGAAGTACCTACAAAGAAAATGAAAACCTCCTTAAATTTGAAACCCCATAAAGAATTAAGGGAAAATGTCTGCCTCAAGGAGAAATGAGGCAGGAGACTAGGGTATGGCAAAGGCAAGCTAGCAAAGTAGGCATGGTTTCTATAGAAAAATCCTAGCAAGGCAGAAAACACTAGCTGGGAACATTCTTATGGCACACTAATTACAAAATCCCAGGTCACATGTTAGGACAGTTCTCAGAACCCTGCATGTGGATATCTTGTGAGAACACTAGCAGGTTTTCCATAGGCTGATCTAACCCTGATGGCAGTGTGGGAAGTATTTTTTAAAAAGAGAAACCACATCAACACTTGTGCTCTCATGTCACTTTCAGGTACCACACTCATGACTACAGAGTGCGCTGATTTATTTCTTCTATTATAACTTGACCAAAGCTCATTCCATAGAGATGGAATTTTTCTTCTATCTTTAATATCTATAAAACATTATTACCATTTCTGCTTCAGTGAACCAATATTTATCTCAGGACAGAAAGAACCTGGGACCACCTATAGAAGAAGACTCCACCATGCCTAAACCAAAGAATGGAACCATAACCCGAACTCGAATCCTATCCATAACCCTAATCCTAGCCCAATCTTTGGTAGAACTGTAGACCTAGAACTAGCCCAAGCTATGCATATATCACTAAAGCTAACATAACTTTGGGGGAACACTAATACTAACCAAAATGTAACCCCAAACTTATCACGCTAAGCCCAACTCTAATGCTGGTAAAAATTTAACCTTAACCCAAACTAACCCTACACCTGGAGAAAACCTAACCACAAATGCCACTCTGTTGTAACTCTACTCCTAGATATCGCCCTAGTCCTATCCAAGGTTCTAACCCTAACTCTATCCTTAGACCTCAAGTTTCTTTTACACTAACTCTGGAGAAACCTAACTCTGTCTTTAATACTAAAACTAAGCATAATCCTTGACAAACACCAGCCTCAGTGTAATCTCTAGCACTAGCACAAGGCCTAACCTAAACCTGACCCTAAACTAAATTTAAATCTAATCCTTGTGGAATGCTAGACTTAATCCTAGCCATAGGCCAAGCCAAACAGTAACCCTAAATAATATTATTTTCCTGGTAGAAACCTAATGATAAAGCTCAAGCTAAAGCTAACACTAACCCTAAACAAACTCAGCTAGAACCACATCCTTATGCTAGATCTAGCCTTAACCCAACCATATCCATAACCCTAAATGAAAGCCTTATTTTAACCCAGGTGAAACTAGCCTGATTCATAGCCATAGCCCTAATCACAAGCCCTAATCCTGAGCCTCACTTTTACCACAACATTAAATCTGTTGTAAGCCTAATCATAGCCCTAAAATTAATGCTGCTCTTAAATCTAAACCTAAGCCCGGTGCATCCACAACACTAACAGTAACCCAAGCTGTAACACAGCCCTGTTGAAACAATAAGACTAATCATCACCTTGACCCTAACACCACCCCCCCAAAAAAAAATCCTAATCAGGATATTGACTGAACTTTAGCCCTATCCCTAACCATAGCATAGTTCTCACCCTAACACACTCTGGTGGATCATCTACTCTAGCTCAACCACAGCACAGGCCCAAGACCCAAACATAGTACCAACCATAACAATAAACTTAAGCATAAGCTTAGCCCTTGGAACCCTAGCCACAGCCCTAAGCCTAATCCTGAACTTGATGTGAACAGAAACCTAAACCTAACTCTCAACTTGCATTTTTACCCCAAGTCTGACCCAATCCTAACACTAACCATTGACAAAACCATAACCTTAATTAAGACACTGGCCTTAGCATGAACTGTATCCTCAGGTGAAACCCTAGAATTTTCTCCAGTTATAACCCTTATGCAACACCTACCAAAAACTAGACTTAACACTAACAATAAAGTTTACACTAATGCTCTAATGCTAGAAGTAGTCTTACAACTAAAAGTAATCCTAAGCCTATACAAATCCTGAATCCTATCATAACTTAGCCCTAAACCTAACCATAAACATATCCTTAAAATATAACCCTAACCTAACACTAATCCTAACTCTAACTCTAACTCTATATAACCTTATCTATACCTCATGACAAAACCTATCCTTAAAACTAATCTTAAACCTGACCCTTAACCTACCCATAGCAAAATCCCTAGCCCCAGCATAGCCCTAAATTGATTCATAAACCTATCCCTAATTCCTTATTATTACTTATTCTTTTTTTGTCGTACCAAGGATTAAACTTGAGACACTGTGCCAACCATGCAGGTGATTGTGCCACTGAGCTAAATCACCAGGCTTACCCTCAACTCTTATCCTACCCTCACTATTGGCCTACACAACACTCTAATCTTAGCCCAAACTTGTAACATTAACCCTAAGTCAAACTCTAAAACATAAAAACAATAGAAAGAACACCCAAGCACCTTTCAGCCCCTATTCTAGCATTAGCACTAGCCTTAAGGCTGACACTAATCATGGTGGAACCACAGCCCTGGAGAGAGAATTTCCTTTAGGCATAAACCTACCCTTAGTCTTAAACCTTGCCCTCTGGCTTACCAAGGTGCTAGTCATAGACCTAACGCTAACCTTCACACAGTCCCTAATATGAAAATTTCCTAGACCTAAAACTAGCATTAGCCCTAAACATAAAACTAAACTTAAACCTTACCCCATCCCTAAAACTGATAGACCCTAAACTCAAGCCTAAACCAAAGCCCAAACCTAAACCTAAACCTAAACCTAACCCTAAACCTAAACATAACCCTAAACCTAAACATAACTGTGAAACTTATGCTAAGCCTGGTGGAAGCCTCAATTTAACCCTAACCCAACCAAAATCTTACCTGAGCCTGACTTAGCCCTGTCCATACATCTGTCACTAACCCTATGCTATACTTCATACATTTTGTCAACTTGTGGAGTTTAGAAGTTTAACTGATAGACTCAACATGGAGCTAGAATTCTTCCTTTGTAAGTACCATCCTCCTGTGCAAAAGGAGGGCAAGGAGATTGTGTGAGTGCTACACCCACCCTGGAAAGGGTGGCCTATGTGCAGTATAAGGGAGGACAAGTGGCTTACTCTTGCCCTCTTTTGCTCTGGCTGCTTCTGCTGGCTGCTGCATTACAGTGTTGCCTGGATACCAGGCCATCCTGCCATGGAGTCAGCTGATGGTAGACTGAAGCCTCCACAAAGTAGTCTAAATAAACCTCTCCTTCCTTCATTTTGGGTACTGGTGCTTTGTCCCAGCAATGAGAGAAAAGTAATCAAGACAGCTTAACTCTATCACTAATCCTGAGTCTACATGAAACTTCACCCTAAGCATGCTGAATGGTATGGCTTATATTTAGATATCCCCCAGAGCCTCTGCACACATAGGTGTGGATTTTAAGCTGTGACTGGATCACTGCTGTATAGAAATGGATTAAACAACTACTTGATATACTATAGCCCTGGGTGTGGCTGGGTGGATTTACTGAAGACAGAAAATTCTCCGCGGGTATCAGTGGCAACAACCAACAGTATTCTAGCTCAGCTGGAGTATACAGGCAAAGGGAAGCTCACTGCTGGTGCTTCCTGTCTGCCTTGCCAGGGACTGTCTGTCCTCTCCCATGGCTCTCTGCCATGCTTTCTTGCCCAGGATCCAGCTTAATATATACTGAAACACTTACAAAATGTGCATTTTTTCTCAGCAATAACAAAAAGAACTGACTGAAACATGAACACTTTGCTTAGATATAATGTGAAACACAACAGTTCTAGATCCTTCACTCTCCTCAATCCATATCCCTAACCCTAACCCTAACACTAGTCCTGAAATAGCTGTAAAATTAATTCTAACCCTAACCCTTGTGAAACCCTAGTATTACCCTAACCCTAGCATGGGATATAGCCTATCCCTATCCTTGGACCAATTACTAACACTGTCAAACTAAGCTTAACCCTCAACCTAATCACAGCCTTAACCCTAACCATCACTGAACACTAGATATAGCTCTAGACATATGCCTAGGGATAGAGTCACAGGTCAGGGGTTGTTATCTAGATGTCTGAACAAAGCCTCAGGCACTCATTGGATGGGGCTTTTCAGAAGTGAATAGATCTGGGACACTGGTAGTGGGCTGTGTGTTGCTTTGCTTTTAAGACAAAAGATGTGAATGTATGAGTTGATTTTTCTAAGCCAAAACCTCAGTGTTCATGTTTAAATGTCGGGTGGGCATACTGAAATAAATATGATTTTGGTTTTCACTTCAGGCACTAGTCTCTAGAAGGTTTATCATCACTGATCTAAGGTGCAGGTTATTGACATTAAGTGTCGGTGGTACTGCGTTAGTCCGATTGTTATGTCACAATTCTGGATGTGATAACGGGAAGACAGAATAAGGGTGTGTGTGGCACTAGACAAAAGCATTGTAGCCTGGATGATATAAGAGATAAAAAGGGGTTTTCTACTGCTGCTGCTTGCTGCCTATTTCCTGCCATGCCATGGACTGTTTCTCCTCTGTGAGGTCACTCTGCCCCAGAGCCAGCTGACTGTCTGAAACCTCTACAAACTCTGAGCTGATATAAACCTGTTCTCCTTTAACTTTTGAATGTTGAGTATTTTGACTGAGTAACAAAGTAACTAAGAGAAACGTGCAGGTGGCTGGATAAGGTTGAGTATCCTGGAGAGTATCCTTCTGGGCCCCTCAGCCAAGGGATGTGACGATGGGAGACATTCATTTGTCTTCAGGAATAAGGGTGGGGCCACTGGCAGAGTCAGAGCACTGTTTAAAAGGAACATATGAGGGAGGGAGTCAACTTCCATAGGAACCACCCAGGGCAAAGGGAGCCAAGCTGACTCTCAAAACCCCACCTCCTCACACCTCAAGGATAAGCCCCAAGGTGGCCTCCCCATCCCAGTCCCCAGGAAGAACACTTGGCTCTAGAGACCAAGCTGCCCAGAGAGGAAAGAAGACTGTAGAGGGTACAGTTCTTTGAGAAGGAGGATGGGGTGAGCATTTAGGAAGACAGCAGGCCAAAGGAGAAAGGCACAAACCTGAGGTGATGCCACCGGTGAGAGCAGCCCCCGGGGAAGGGACACCACCATGTGACACAGTGTCATCAGCAGAAGGATGTGCAGGATCAGAGAGGTCTTCAAGCCTGTCACAGAAGGAGGCAGGCTTAAGGGTGACATGAGGGACAGAAGATGCCTAAGCACCATAGTCACAAAGGGGCACATCATGTAGGACAGGGCTGCTGCAGTCAGGAGACAGTCACACATGCTGGGGACAGTGGGAGTGAGGATGTGGCTGCCCAGGCTGCAGGCCACAGGCCTGCATTGCAGATGTCCAAAGCTCAAAGCCAGGGCTGACACCCTCCGTCCTGATCCCCATGATCTTGCTCTGCCTATAGCTCAGCAAATGACTGTTCAGGCTGAGAACTGGAAAGCCATAATGGGCAGCAGGAAGGTGGGAATAGTTCCTTCAAGAGACAGTCCATGCCACACTGACTCTGGCCCACATCTTCATTTAGAGATCAAAATCCCCTGTAAGGGATCACTGGGGCTCAAGTGCTATGGCTAAAAATGAAGTTTAAAAGACACTGAAGCCCTGCCAAGGAAATGATTTTTCTGTTATCACCCAGTAAGCTAATAGCAAACATGATTCAAAACATCTAATCCCGGGGCCCGGAGCTCTCCTCTCACATGTTGGAGGGCTTTTACAGAGCCTAAAGAGAGTGGCTATTCTCACTAGTCTGGCTTCCCTGGCTGAGGAAAATCAAATAGCAACTGCCATTTACACAGTGTTTCCACTAGCCCCTAGTGAGTTCATGTAAAAGCATTTCATTTGACCTTCCCAAGTGTACATAAAATTTTCCCTCCTGTCCTCTCTCCTCTCCTCTCCCCACTCCCACCCCTCAGTTTATTGGAGTGCTGGAGATCATGCCCAGGGCTTGACACAAGCTTGTCAAGACCCAACCATAGCTCCCAAATGCAGAATTACTAACCAGCACCTGACATTTTCATCTGAACCGTGACCCTCTGCTGCCATTTGGGCCCCTACCCCCAGCAGCTGGCCACCAAGACTCACTTTCTCAGGTGAGTGACAGTCACCAACAGTGCCTGTCCCATGGTGAAGGGACTGTTTTCTGCTCTTCTTCTTCACTGATGCTATAGCATCAACAAGGCTGGCTTTTACTTCAAACTTTCTCACCTGTGCAAAGGAAGAGCAGGGTGCTCATGAGAATGATAAGCCCCCTATTCACATCCTCCTGCTGCAATGCCACCCACCACCCTACAGGGTGCTATAGTGACCATTTAATGAGTGAGGTAATGAGGGGTTCATGTGGCACAAAGAAAAAAATAAAGGCAAGCAGGCCGGGTGGTCAGGCCTTTTAATCCCAGAAACTGGGAAAGTTGGGACAAGAAGATCATGAGCATGAGGCCATTTTGGAAAAACCATAAATCAGTGAAAAGTAATATAAAAAAGGAAGGAAGAAAGGAAGGAAGGAAGGAAAGAAGAAAGAAGGAAGGAAGGAAGGAAGGAAGGAAAGAAAGAAAGAAAGAAAGAAAGAAAGAGAAAGAAAGAAAGAAAGAAAGTGAAAGAGCTAGGAATGCTGCTCAGTGCTTCCTGGACTCAATCTGCAGTGCTACAATCAATCAATCTATCAAACAATAAAAGGCAATGAGTTGGTTGAGCTGTAGCTGAGTGGTGGAGCATTTTCTCAACATGCCCAAGGCCTTGGCTCAGCTTCCCGTACCACACACACACACACACACACACACACACACACACGCCCCGCAGAAGTAACAACAGAAGGTGAATTCAGTCCTCTAACTCTCACCTCTGAGGTTTGCCAGGAGTTAACCATCCCGGGAGCAAAACCAGAGGTAGAAGAGGGAGAGCAAACACTAATAGGTGGGAACTGTAAATCGGGTGGTTTAAAAACCAGACATCTGGGCACTGTCCTACCCATCTGTTAGAGCTACACTAGTACTTCTCAAACTTCTGTCAAGCACCCTAACTGCAGGAGTGCTGAAGACATAGCCCAGGGAACCTGAGAACTGGTAGAGCCCACGCCAAGCATTATTTCAGGAAAATCGATTACTATCTTACAAATTTATGCATATATTATCCTTACATACATTAATGTTTCCTCTTTAGAGAATCAAGCAGAACTGCTGTTTCAAAAACTAGGTAGGCATGGTGATGCATGCTAGGATTTGGGAGGCTGAGGCAGGAGGACTGTGAATGGAGGCCTACCTGCACTTCAGAGAAAGACCCCACCTGGACAAAAATAAAATGTTTTAAAGGCCTCAATCCTGTGGCACTCAGCATCCAAGCTGCAATTGATCTGGGACAGATTTACATGGAGAAATTGAGTTTTCCAGGATCTGTTCTACATTAGACAAGCTCATTCCAAGAAGCTTGAGAAAGTAGTCTCGTGCCAGAGTCAAAGGGAATTCACATGGGAACTTAGAAAAAGTTTTAGAAGGGAGTAAGAAACCTAGGAGAAAATGCACAGACCTGAGTCTGAGGTGGTCATCCAGAGACTCTGCCAATGCTGAGCTCCCTGGCGAAGTTTCCATGTTGACACTGTAAGTTAAGGACCAAGGGCACCTGCACTCCTTCCCGTGGTCCAACTCCCTGCCCAGCGGACATCTGTGTCTCCACCAGAGAAACCAGAAAGCCTGAAGAGGCACTTCAGGGGACCAGGTGTGAAGAATAAAGGCCAGGTGAGGGGCAGAGATGTCCTTTCCTGGGGGCTTGGGACTAAGCGCTCCTCCCTCCTGTCCCCAGAATCTGTTTATGCCCTCACCTCCTCTCCATTCCCACAGGGGCAGGGACCGAGGTAAGGGGTAAGGGGGCTGAGGGAGGTCTGCTCGGGGGGGCAGGAGTTTAGTGTACACTGCGGCCATTAGGGGACTCAGACAGCGCCTGTGACCTCACGAGGTTTACCTTTTTCTTCTGCCACAGTCAATTTCTGCCTTCCAATTTGTTCAGAAATTCTGGGTGGGGAAGGCATAAAGGGTGGGTCCACATCAGCACAGCCCCATAGGGCACCCACAATGCACTTCCCAGAACCTCTGAGCAGCCCCTCATCTGAGCCCAAAGCTCAAATAAACAGAAACCATAGCAACAGACAGGGCGGGGTATTTCTCAGGTCTCCACCCCATTGGTCGAGATGGTGATGAGGTCATAAGAGGGCTGCTGAGGTCTCCTCCAGGGGCGGGGCTGTGTCTGAGCCTGGTTGAAACCACAGTGGGCCACTGCTCCAGGCCTCCACAGGGAAACCTTGACCACAGAGCTGGGAGGAAGGAACAGCTCAGTTCAGGGGCCCTAAAATGTCCCACAGATGGCTACATACATAGGGTGTGTTGTCTGGCTTTTCACCGTTAATAAACATCTGGGTGGCCATATGTGAATCTCTACACTAATTGCCTCTCCTTTGGTAGCCCATGTGCCCACCTAGCAGAGGGGCAGTGCTGGGCATTATGCTAAATGCCAAGATCCATTACTGTTTGTTTGTTTAACTGGGAACCAAACCCAGTGCTATTCCCCTAACCCCTTATTTGAAACAGGACCTCCTCAAGTAGCCTACATCATCTCATTTTTGAGATCATCCTGCCTCAGCCTCCCAAAGTACTGGAATTACAGATATGCACCATCATGCTCAGGGCTACAATGCTTAAAATCTCACTAGGAGTACACAGTATTATTTTACCCTGTTATACACAAGAAAATCAAGGCTAAGAGGTCAAGTGACTGCTTAAGATCAAATTGGCACCCAATGCTTAAAACAACTCTAGGAGGAATTAGTATTATTCTATCCATGTTATAACCAAGGAAATTGAGGCTAAGAGGTCAAGTGACTGTTCAAGGTCAAATTGGAAGTGTGAAGGCTGGTCTCTCTGGCTGGGGAGAAAGCTGGTCAGCACTGGGAGAGAAGGGCAGCAATGCTAGGTTCTCATTTTGCATCAGTGTGTTAGTACTTACTTTTTGGAAGAACTTAATGTTGCAGGAGAAATTGAACCAACAGTAGACAGGAGCTCAGGAGAAGAAAGGAAATTTTATTAATGCTAGCGGACCCCAGAGGAGCCATCTCTGAAGTCTAGGGTGGAGGTTTACAGAAAGTTGGTCTTTTTATAAGTTTTGAGTTATAAGACAGAAGTTACAAGAACGAGATACACTTTTGCTGAAGGCCGTGGTACAATGGGAATCTTGTGGTGAGCACACTGTGTGAAGCAAAGTTGTTTTTAGCAAATCTGCAGAAGTTTCAATCTGATAACAAATCATGGAATTTACCTGAGTTTCTTGTGGCAGAGAACAGAGTAACTGCAACTTTATTAAACCAAATGGCTGCGGTTAGGTCAGGACTTCTGCTTCACCTGTAGATACCTGTCTCTGGATCACACACAATGTGCTTTTCACAGGATTAATGGGCAATGAAAGAGCAGCCCAGGAAGGGCCAGCAGACCCCGCTGCCGGGGCTCCTGTGGTCTGGGGCGCCCAGGGGTGGCTCCCACATCCTCTGAAACAGCATTACTACAATGAGCCCTCCACGCGGGCTCCACACCTACCTGCCTGTACAGAGGTTCTCTTTCTTGTTCCAGCTCTTTTCTTTTACCCACCTTTGAGGGCTTTTTGTTGTTGTTGTTTGTAGTTGGAATCGAACTCAGGACCTTGCACTTGCCAGGAAGGCTCTTGTGCCACTGAGCAACATCCTGGGTCCTTTTACCCACCTTTGGAGACAGACTATTATTTCATTTTGGAAATTTAGATGCATGCTTCCCCCATCCCTTAAACTGCAGTGGATAGCACAGGCAGTCCTTGAATGTGTGTAAACCATTGGAGATAAGTACACGTAGACTGGAGTCAGCTCACGCTCTCTCTCCCTCTCCCTGTCCCTTTTCCACTCCCTCTTTCTTCTCCTCCCTGTCTTCTGACACTGCCTGCCAGGCAGCATTACGTCTTACTCCAATTTCTAACAGATGGCTGTGAAGCACAGTGTCTGGAGAAAGGGGAATCTTTTTCTAGTTTACTCTGAATCAGTCCATGAGCTAGTGCAGGCTGCACCTTCTCTGCACTGCTCCGCATGGGGCTGGTGAGCAGGACTTACAGAGCTTGAAAGTCAGCAGCCTAAGCGTGTTCCTCTCATGACGTCCTCTGTCCTCAGCCCGATTTTCTCTCCCCTCTCTCAGTGTCCACCCTGCCCATCTGCGAGTGCTGCATACTGGATTTGGTCAGTTGTCCCCCAGCAATCGCTCCTTTCTCCTGAGCCCATCTCTGTCTTCACTCCACTCGGACACACAGCCCCGTACTCAGAAAGTGTCCCACACATTCTGCGGTTGTTACCTTTTGTTTTTGTTTCTGTTTCCACGAGGCAGGGTCTTGCTGTGTACTTCACTTTTAATATCTGTTCTGCTGAGCGGAGCACATGCTGTGTAGTTCAGTCTGGCCCTGAACCTACCACGTGTCCCAGGCTGTCCTCAATCCCAGCAGTCCTCTTGTCTCAGCCTCCCAAGTGCTGAGATTATTGATATGCACCACCACGTCCAGAATATGTTGTTATTTTAAGATTCCAAATGATTTTATTTTTGAATGTGTATTTCATAAGTGATGTCTGATGGGACAAGAGGGCATAAACGCAAGCTCACGCTGTGACATCTGCATGTCTGGCTTTCCTTGTGCTTTCGTTCCCTTGTAAGGCTTGCAGTGTTCCATAAAGTAAGAATTCTTCCGATGTGCGTTACTTCTAAGCTCAGAGAAACTGGAAGCCGCGGCAAATGAGAGCCCATGTCTGCCAGCACACAAGCAAGAGGGCTGATTAGCTGAGAGGAAGCTTCCTCCAGGTGAAGGAGGCAGCTAGTGGCAGGAGTGTCTGGCATGCACAAAGCCCTGGATTCCAGGCACTCACACCAGAACTTGTGCCTAATGCAGAGCAGTCCATGGTGTCTGTCTACTATATTTTATTTGGGTGACATTTGCTAAAAAATGATGACATATAGGAAAGAAAAATAGAGCAGTTCATATTTCCTTTAGGTTGTAATACTTCCTTATTCATCATTAAGATAAAGCTAGAGAACACTGGTAGAAGATGTGCATATCAAGAGCTGAAATAAGGCTCAGGTGTGATGGTCCACACCAGGAATCCCAGCACTCAGGAGCTGGAGGCAGGAGGTTGATGAGTTTGATGCCATTCTGGCCTGCAAAGCAAGACTCTGTCTCAAAAGCACCAAACCAAGGCTGGGCATGGTGGTACCTGCCTATATTCCCAGCCCTCAAGGACACTGAGGCAGGAAGATTGTTGTGAGTTTGAGACCAGCCTAGACTAACTAAAACTGAGTTCAAGTCCAGCCTGAACTACCAAAAAAACAAAACAAAACAAAAAAACCTTACAAACCAGAGCTGGCTGTAGTAACACATGCCTGTACTCCCACATTCAGGAGACTGAGGCAGGAAGATCACCACAAATTCAAGGCCAGCCTGGGATATGTAGTGAGTTCAAGGTCAGCCTAAAGTACAAAGTGAGACCCTGTTTTAAAGCACCAAAAAATTTTTTTAAGTTACGAAAAAAAGTGCATAATTTTTAGTGATTCTACAATATAGATTCACATTTGCATTTAGAACAGACATTGTGCAGTATAAAGATGAAAGTAAAATTCAGCCAGGTGTGGTGGTGCTCACCTGTAATCACCTGTACTTGGGAGGCCGAGGCAGGAGAGTTGACCAGCTGGAATATATGACACTCCGTCTCAGCACCCACCCCTCAAAATATCCGGCTAGTCATTTATGATTTTAATTTTTCTTTACTTACACATTTAGTAGAAAATAGAAACATCAGGACAAGTTAGCAAAGAAGAAAAGGGCTGGGGATTTAGGTCAGTGGTATAAGTACCTGCCTGGCAAGTGTGAGGTCCTGAGTTCAATTCCTGGTACCAAAAAAGGGGTGGGCCTTTATCCTTTGGAATCTTTAATAGAACTTTCTTGGTTTTTGAAGGAGGGCTCTGCACTTTTGTTTTGCACTGAGCTGTGTGCATGATTTCCATTATTCTTTTCTGTGTTGCAGAGACTAAAAAGATGTAAGTTCTAAAAATTAAGAGTCCTACATTCAAAATAGGTTGCACAAAGAAGAAACACTTGCAAGAGATTTCTATGGAGGAAAAAAAACAAGACCATGTTCCTGCTCCTGCGCCACTCACACTCCATGGGTTGCTAGGCTTGCAGAGATACTGATGCCCATGGCCAGCCTTGTCAATGTGATGGAGCTTCAGAAACAAAGGTCCAAGCAGGCTCCTCTTCCAGCCAGAGAGCTGCAGTGGCTGCTGGAGGACCTTGCATCCTATTCTTCTGTGCACTGCATCACAGCTATGGCGGTGGGAGTCCCCATGCTGTGTTTTATTTAGTTTTGTTTGTTTTATTTTGTTTTGTCTTGTCAGGGTGGTTTGGTTTGGTTTGGTTTGGTTTGGTTTGGTTTGGTTTTGAGACAGCTTCTCGCTGTTTAGTTCAGCCTGCCCTTTAGGTCACTGTGTGTCCCACTCTGGTCTCACACTCGCAGGCTCCTCCTGCTTGCTTCAGCTGCCCGGATGCCAGGATTATAGGCAGCACCACCATGCGCTGTAGCTCATGGGGCCTTACAAGTTTCAGATCCAGCCTTCATCACTGAATATTAGAAAAGCCCCAGGCCCAGGTTCTGTTCCCTGAAGTTACCAGGTGCACAGCCACCAGCCCTTCCCTCCTGTCTCCCTCCCAGGGCTTTTATCCTTCATTTTCTTCAAGCAATACCAGTAGGTGGTTGTACATCTTTCTCTCTTGTTGGGAAGCCTGGTTCCTGTCCTCAAAGAGTTCATGGTTAGTCGGAAGACAGAAGACACAAGAGTAAACAAAATCTAATACCATTGAGAACTTTGTTTTTAAAGGGAAAAAAAAAACAGTACAAGGGTACAAGTAATACAGAATTTCCAAATAAAAACAATAAGAAATAACTAGTTAACAGATAACATATTGTCATCTTAGAACTAGTTGTTCAAGTTACAGGATTAAAGCATGCAAAGTGGACATTCAAACAGTGAGACTGCGAACAGTTGTGTTCAATGATCAAGCAACA